TGTTGTGATTTGGCGCTATATAAATAAAATTGAATTGAATTGAATTGAAAGTTTGTGTGTCGAGCTGAATGTTGCTTATGGTAAAAAACAAGCTAGACAGTGAATAAAGTTCAAATGAGCTCATGTAGTTTATGAGACTAGTGTCCATCATGCTCTTGTGACATAATGTAACAATAATATGTCCAACATTAAATGTATTGCATTAATATGTGGAATATAATTTAAAAAATTAATTAAAAAGTGACATTTAACTCAGCGCTTCAGTAATAATTCAGTAATAATTTTATTACACAGAATAATCTGTGAACGGGGCCACATTAGTGCAGCGTAAGCTTCTTTGTTACTTTATCCACACAAATATGGAAAAAAGTTTGCTATACCAAATATTATTTCATCTCCTCCACCACTACCTGCATTCAAACGTTGTAGAGGTCTGTGGTTTCGGTGCTGAAATAGCCGTGGATTTTATTTGAAACGTCTGCAGCTCCATCTTGGCCCCTGACTCACACCTTCCTGGCTCCGCCACTCTTCATGCTTAGAAAACATTAGCATGAATTCTGTCTTACCTTTGCTGTCTCGCTTCCAAAACTTAAATCCAGCACAATTAAATTGCACTAACTGAATAACTCCATTTCCCACAATGCCTCAGAGCAGAGACGTTTCACTTGAGCAGCATCAGGTAATATCCATTCATGGGTTTTTGGTGTTTATTGTCAACTGCAGCATATTTTCAAAGGGGTGAGATGCTATAAAATACAAAACACATTTAGGCATTTTTCTGTGTTGAGTTATTTTGACACGATAGCTTTAACGGTAATATTTGCACCTCGGATGAAGTCTCACAGGCGTTAGCTTCATTTTGATTAGATTACTGCTTACACAGAGTTTGTAATTCATACTCCATCTCACCTTTAATAACTTTACATATGAAAGTAATATTTGATATGTTACTTTAGAAAGCTGCAAGCGTGAACAATTTCTGCATAAATTACATAAAGACATAAATTATTTATAAAAAAAATCATATGACTAAAGTCACAACAGATTTTCAAAGACTAAAAGGATGAATATTTGAACATCTTCAGTTCCATGACAACTGCACAGCTCACTGAGGAACATCAAATGGTAAATAGATGGTAAATGGACTGGTTGTTATTTAGCACTTTCAACTCTGAGCTATCAAAGTGCTTTTAATTTGCCTCATTCACACCAACTCATACATGTACATTTTTCTATATGGATACATAAGTGCTGTTTATATAACGTTCACACACATTCATACTCCAGTGTGTCAGAGAACGTGGGGTTAGTATTTTGATTTCTTCAATGAAAAGCGGTCCCAAGTAATGTGGGTCCAGTTTCTTTGACATGCATTTGAGAGGACAGTCCTTGAAGGACCCAGACTTTGTTGCCTTCCACATACTGTTGGGCTGGGACCTCATCCAGTCAATGAACTGGTGGTTTTCTCCTAAACACCAATCAGTTTTTTGTGAGTCCTTTTTGACAGTTTTAGTGCCAAAGTGAGGTCATGAAGTTTAAACTTAATTTGGCAGATATGCTTGGATTTACATAATATTAGGTCTACATCAGGGGTGTCAAACTCCAGGCCTTGAGGGCCAGTGTCCTGCAGGTTTTAGATCTCACCCTGGGTC